ACTTACAGACGATCTGCAGTGTAGTAAATTCCCATTTTAGTAGCATCAGATCAAGTGAAATCACAAGATTGTGATAGTATATTTTGCAAGGTTAAAAGTTTTATCTGCCTGATACCTATTCTGAACTTGAAGAAATAATAAAGGTCACATAATACATATTCTTATTTATGTATCATGAAGAGGGAAAAAACAGTCCTTCTCCTGGCACTGGACCCTTTTGCGTATCTATCCATTGCATGTCAACCAGCTCCTGACTCTTCAGCCAGTCCCAAGAAAAGTGCTCAGTGAAGAAGAAAGGATGATGGCTAAGATCAGGACTGGAAAATTTACACCCACCCACAGAGATTTTATGTATACCAGCTGAAAAGAAAGAATTTCTTTTTTCTCCTAATCACTCCAGAAACATATGTGCACACACACACATATACATATGTATATATGTATATTAAAAAAACCTCTGCCCAGTCTTTTACAGTGGTAAGCATCTTCCACAGAATGGAGTATGCCTGTACTCCAGGTCTATTTCTGGTGAGAAATCAAGACATCTTTCACCATCTGTTACCTGGTGTAACTTGTAACTCTTCATGGTGAAAAGAGTTACTTCACCAAGAACAAAAACCTTCAAAGCAAGTAAATGGTCTTTTAAAATCTGTGGATTCCCTCTCTGCTTAAGGAAGTCTTCTTCAGTGAATAGAAATAAAGAAATAAAATGTTTCCAAAATAAAGGAATATAGCTGTTAAAAAATTACTTTTCATGCACCTTTTTTTCTAGATTTTAAATGAATAGTGCCCCCTTTATCCAAACACTGAGATGTTCTGCACTGAAGCAAGCTCCAAACAGAAGCCAGGTTTAGCTATTCTTTTAAAATAATCTGCCTGTAATATGAGCAGGATTAACTGCCACATGAAATAACATGTTTAAAATATTTTACTCAAATAAAAATATATGGTTAAGGTAGACAACATAGCAGCTTCACCATCTGAGGCTTGAATATTGAAGTCTCAACTGTTAGCCATTATCATAAATAACAGGAACCAATAATGCTATGGCTATTCATGCAATTTAAGTTCCTGCAAGACATGAGATCCAGGAAGATTCTCTGTGGAGAGAATTTTCACCCCCATTGCGCATCCATTGATATAGCACCACAAACAACCTTTCCCACTCCAGTCACCTGTTAATTTGCCCCATGGACGTGCCCTAAAACCTGATTTCCAGCTTTAGATTTGGAGCAAAGCAAACAGCACTTGTAATAAATTCCACTTTTCCCAACCTATTGTTCTTCAGATATTTCTTCTAAATTATTCTGTCATAAAACATACAATAGCTTTCTCTTTAAAATATGAATTTACTTTGTCATTATTTGGATTTGCTGTTTATGCCATAAAACACTTAGTTCTATTGAAAAATTTTAGTGAATATTTGAAGGCAAGACATCCAAATTGCTTGTTGGACACAATTGTTTATATTTCAGAAATCTCTTTGCAGAGAATATCAGCACCTATTTTCGAGGGTTTCGTTCTCTTTTGCATGAACTAATCATAAAAGAAGTTATCATACTTAAAAGTACAACAGTATGCATTTTCTACTTTTTTATTTTAATAGCAGTTGTAAAAGACTGAGCTACAGAGAAGCTACACATATGTGTGTGGGGTGTGTATGTGTAAACTTGCTGAAGCTGCTGAGTAAATGTTTTAGCAAGTTACACCTGTTAAGTATGCAGGCTGACATAAATAGATATATCCACTGTAAAATCTTTAACATTCTACAACAGCATTGTCAAAACGCAGGATCTTCCGTACACATTTTACCAACACAGGCATCTTGTAATGTAGGAGCCTCTGGGCTGGGTGAGGCTGAAACTCTGGCCAAGGGAGGGAGTATCCTGTAGCAGATGACTAGAGAAATAAAAAACATAGGGCTGTTATTGTTCCCTAGTGTTCCTTTCCAGCCTCCTGCTTTCTTCTATCCATATTGTTAATAGCCCCTGCTGATTTTGCCCTCAACACTTTAGCTGATCTTTAACAGTGGCTGTGGAAACTGTGTCATAGTTTAATTATGTGTTGTATGGGGAACCGTGACCTCTAGGTGGCTTGGGACAAACCTGCTATCACTCCTTGTCCCCTCGTGCCTCTGGTAAGGGGACAGTGCAATATTGCCCACTATTGATTTCCTCTACGCGACTTATGATTTTATAGACATCTATCAGATCTCCTTTCAGGCTGAAGAGGCTTAGCCCATTTAGTAATTTGCAAAAGGTCATTCTTCTGTGTTTGTGGCCATCTTGCCACTTCACTCTGTATATTTGCTGTTTGAAATAAGGCAGGACCAGATCTGCACCCACCCAGAACTCAAAAGCACTTGCTTTATGCAATGACACATTAATAACTTATACTCTGCTCTTCTTGACTAATCAGCTTGGGTTTTATTGTCATTGGATATTTTTTTTTCATCTGAAAAATTACTTAGAGCTCTATATCTCTGCATCGTAACTCCAACATCAGCTTTTTGAATGCTAGTAAATCGTTACGGTCTTCCGAGGTGTTGTATACTAAAATAGACTTCTCAGAAAGAAATCTGAGGAGTGAAGTTTTATGGTATGAGGCTACCAAGTCTTCAAGAGCTTGTAATTGCTTACGTGGTTCATTTAGTATGGACTGTTTGGGCATAAAGCAACAAGTAATTAAAAAAAAAAATTACATCTGACTAGAGAAATAGCTTTTTTCTACTGATAAGTCAGATGTCCTTTGTCCTTTGTCCTCCCCATTCTTTCCAAGTTTTTTGACTCCATTAATGAACTTAGGCTGAAGTAAAATGAAGAGTGACAAAGAATATATTTTTCCCATAAGAAATTTTCCACGGCTCCACAGCAAAAACATCCAGGAAATTTGCTCTTAGAATATTATATTTCATGCAGGTCACATTTATGGATGCTGACAAAACTTCCCTCACTTTCTGATAAATTTATTTCCCTAAAATCCTTTTTCTGATCTAGCATCTTTAGTCAATTTCTTGTAACTGGATCTTGAATTTTGAGGGAAGGTGAATTTCAGATTTGCATAAATTAACCTCTGAAATAGATGAGATTGACTTGAAATGCTAATAAAATCATGTATGAGGTAGAAATAAAATTTAATTCTTGTTTACCTGCTCTAAGTAAATAACATAATCCTACCTTGTTCAGCTGTATTTTTTGCTTGGTTTGCATCACATACTTTTATTTATTTTGCTTAGCTGTATGTGGATACAAATACTGGGGCTGTAGATGGGTTCTTCTGGTAAACAACAATGGTTTTTGTTCTAAGCCTTCCTCTAAATGTTATCTCTGAAATTCATCTTCCGCAGGGAAAATAAAATAGAGAGTAAAAGAATTTTCCAGTAGCTCTGCAGCAAGAATTGTCAGCAGTTCTGCATTGCTTATCATCTGGCTTGGTAAAAAATATCAACAGATATATTGCATGCATGTGCAAGAAATCAAATGAAAAAAATTTACTTTTAAGCTTTCCTAGCTGCATATTGTACATTGGGGGGTGCCACTCTATAACTTTAACAATAAGCTTGCTGCATTATATTGTATGCTGTATTGCCACAAATGAAAATCAAATTCAGGTTCAATCTTGTTAGCCCAAGTTCCAGCTGATTTATGTAATCAACACTACTAGGGCAGCAAACAATTCTTCCTGTGGTAAATACATTTTTTTCCTTAGACTCACAGTGCTGTTGTTTCTGTGGTCAGTCTGTTTGCAGTTTTATCCATCTGTCTTAACTCCTAGGTGCTTTAATGCTCCCATCTCTGTGTTAGAGAGATGCCAGGTGAGAAGGGAAATTTACCAGTTGCGAAAGAGCATCACTTGTGGAGGATACACGTTTTGTTCGAGATGCCAAATCGATAGCACTTGAGAGAAGCTTTAGAAATTCAAAGGAAAGGTGCAACATAGACACCAAAAAGTGAAGATTTTCATATAGTGCTTTGTAAACATGTCACAAAAGAACCAGCTTGAAGGCTAAAATAGTAGATCAGTCTGTTCTGAATTCAACCTCTGACATTTTTCCTAAGAACTTCCAGGAAACTTGTCATTCTGCACTAATTTAATTATATAAGCACTTGTTCAGGAGGTCCATATTCATTCTCTGCATGATGCAAATGAAACTCATTCAAGTGTAAAAACCGTGAAATACAGTTTTTACAAATGAAAAGTGAATTGGTTGACATTTGAAGAGAATGAAAATTTCCCATAAAAACTGAAAATATCGAACAGAATAATCTGATCATTTTGCCGGAAAGTGGTGCCATGGCCTTTGAATTTAAATAGTGGCTTCCAGGGGAAAAATTCTGTGTTGTTTTAACACAGACAGAACTTTGGGAACTCACTGATGTATTGGTTAACCCATACTAGTGGAAATAACATTGTAACATGCACTGTACTGTGCTAGGATTTTTTAATTTGATCACAAACCAATGCCCTTAATTCATATGCTGACTTTTGTTTGACAGAAGGAGATAGTATCTTTGATAATCACTAACTTTACCAGGGTTTATATAGTTGCATCCAAGCTGCATTCGTGTTACAATAAAAATTCTTCTTAACTTTAATTATTATTTTGTTGGAAACAATAACAGGATCTCCTGGGATTAATTTGACATGATACAAATGCCAAGTAAAAAGACATTTAATTTTTCAAATATTAACGATTTTTATGTAACTTTCAGAGTGGGGCCCTGGGTGGGTGTTGGCAGAACATCAGATTAAGCTTTGAATCAAAGGCTAAATCTGCGCCAGAGCTGAGCATGCCATGCTCATACCCAGCTCTGAGGTCCCTGGCATGCAGTGAAATCCCCAGGTCTTAGCAAAGGCAGGTGCTTTTTCAGCATCAGTTGGGTGCCCAGATGATTGAAATTCAGCATGGAGATCAGGGACGTGCCCAGGGACATCAGGGGTGTACCACAGCTGTTCCTTAAGCCACGTAGGCTTAAATCTTCTCATTGCTTACCCTTCAGGTGTTCCAGGGAAATTTTGACAATGACACGCACCGTAAGAACATGATTGACCCTCCGATCTACGCCCGACATGTCCGCATCCTGCCGTGGTCATGGTACGGCAGGATCACCCTGCGGTCGGAGCTGCTGGGCTGCACACTGGAGGACTGAAGCGGATCTCTGTTAGTCATCGTAGCTCTTGGTGTAGCTAAAAGTGTCTCTGTAGAAGATACTGTGCAAAGCCTGTAGGATGCTGAGTGGGTTTTTCATTATTAAGTGCTCATTTTGTGGTAGGCCGCTAACTGTCTTTCGCAAGGAGGTCTAAGCCTGCCCTTTAAATGATCCAATCCGATTTTGTCCTTGAAATCTATTAGTGACGTACCTTCTGCTGTGGAATTATCTTTCTAGTTTTCCTTTGAGTTGTTCACACTAGTTGAAACACGTTAGGGAAAACCAGCAGCATCCTATTTACAAGGGAAGAGAAACAGCATGACAAAGCTCATTTGCAGCTTTAGAAACATTGGGCTGACGAGTTCTCCATAAATCATATTGTCATCTTACTTGCAAAAAGTGATACTGCAGCTTTTAGCAATAAGTTTACTTGGGGATGACCGCATTATAGTAATTGTGCCTATCAAACACTGTCAGTATTTATGACATATATTTTGGAAGATACTCTGTGGTACTGTAAAACACAGTACCCGTGATATTACAAGCTACCTTTCATCACTTTCATCTGAACAGCAGAATCCATGCACCTAAAGAGTTTTCCTAACTAACCCCATTTTCCTTCTCTATTTTGCATGCTATAGACATGACCTTCATCTTTTCTGTTTAGAGTTGACCTGTTTGCATATGAAACAAAATCTGCTATCAGTATATTATGAAGTTAATTAATTTGCCAAAGTTTATTAATTCTGCTTGAGATGTGCTTTTTCAAGGAGGCTGAGATGAGACGCCAAGGTACTTGTGGTATCTCATCTTAAGTACCCACATAGGTAAAGGCACGCAGTGCATCAGAAATCCTGAGCCCGTTTCGTGACTTGCCCAGGCGTGAGCACACAACCCTAGATGGAGCTGCCGGCCCAATTACTTCTTTCAGAAACCTTAATTTCTGAGAGGAGATGAATATGGGGTGAAGGAATAAGTGCTAAAAGACACACAGGAGGAATGACTCCCTTACTGCCAGGAAACCCTCTCAGTAGGCTCTTCTTATGGTGGCAGTCACAGCTTTCCTCCCAGGTGTGAAGGCAAGAGGTGTTGGAGGAGTTCATCAAAGCTGGGCCTTCAGCACCCTCCACTCCCAACCATCTTTTCAGACCTATGCCAGTGAGCCACAAGGAGGCTGATTTTTATCATTCCTCATCTAGAGAAATGCTTCATACAGGCTATGTTGTCTTAACAACATGATAGCCAGCAAGGACCCCAGTTTAAAAAGTCGATTTTAGGAGGAAAAGTGGAGCAGTAGGGGGGACATTCTTCCCCATGCCTCAGTTTCCCCTGATGATGGAGATAATGATACCAACCTTTGTACAACGCTCTGAGTTTCTTTGGAATAAGGTGCTCTATAACTATGTTAGTGTAGCACCAATATCTAAAAAAATCCAGGGCCAGGGGGCCTTTTCTCATTACCTAAATAACAGCATTTGGGATTACTTCCACCCTTTTAATTTCATAACATGCTGATGTGGAGAGAGATAGATAAATATATATACAGCTGCATGTTTTAGCTAATGTCACTAAAGTTATTTTTTGTCAACTGTTCATGCTCATTGAAATACTGAAGAATGAACCTGGGCACTGCTTCCCAGGCAAACAGCTAGTTAGCCCATAGTCTGCAAAGGGCAAAGTTTACTTTGAAAACAAAATGGTTTGGATTTCAAAAACCTGCATTTAATCACACATTCTCCACCACAGATAAAAATATATTATCCATTGAACTGTGAAAGACTCTAGAATAGCAGCCAGGAATTTTGCATACAAGAATTGGGGATATATTGGTGGCGGTTTTCTGATAATGTCACTTAAACTGTCACGTTTTAACAAACAGAACACCCTGCCTCTATAAAATGACTTAATCCTTAAACTGTATTTATACAAGTATTTATTTTATAAGGCTTAGACATTTAAAGACTTCTAAAGAAGAGTCTTGTAAAGGTAAAAGTATGTGTAAGAAATGTTGAGGTCCTGTGCAACACTGCTAAGTTTGTTCTTTATTTTTTACTTTGTGCTGCATAGCAAAAGCCACTAGACTGTTACTGTCTTGTTTGTAACTGTGTTAACAGCATTCCTTAATGATGTATATATGGAGTGGTCTTCAAGCATAGTGAGCAGTTTTAAAGAGAAAGTCAATCGTGAGGGTACTTCTATAGAGCAAAAGAATTCTGAACAATGGAGGAAAGTCATATTTATCTCTATAAGGCACACACAATATTTAAAGAGGTCCAAAACCATTTTCCTGTTGTGGGAGAGCAACTGACTCTGAATTTAATTACAGATATGAAGAAAAACACGTAGCTATTTCACTAGTCAACTGTACCCAAAAAATGGAAGGCCATTTCTGAAAATTAGGTTCCCTAGTTTACCATCTCATTTTAATGTTTTTTTGAAATATTTGTTCTGTGTTCTTAAGTGATTTTTTTCATATTATTAATCTTTTGCTACTTCAATTTTGGTTTTGAATTAATCTGTATTGGTTTAGTAATTTGTTATCCATTAATCTGCATATAAAAATAACGTTATCGTGATACTAACATAGTAATTTTATTTTCTTTTAATTTACAGTTGAGTATTTTCATCCTTATGTCCTGTGTCAGCTTTCATCTGCCAGCAGACTTCACAACCTGCAAAGAAAGCTCCATATCCATTGTGATAACACTCTGTGATAATTTATAAAAGTCGTATAAGTGATGCCCTTACAATTGCAGCTGACATACAGGGGCTTTTTCTAATGAAATTATTCTTTAGCTACAAAGAAGCTTTCTTTAAATGACATTGTGCAGCTACAGTACCAAATTCTGCTCCCAGTATCAGTGGTATAAGTCTGAAATAACTCTTGATTTCTGTGGAATACTTCAGATTTAACAAAACAGTTGAGAACCAGATTATGGTCTAGAATTAAAATTTTCCCTTTAATTTTATTTTCTTGTCTTGGTGAACACCATTGACATAAGGGACAAGTTATAAATTAACACAACTGTACTCTCCCAGTGAAAACAAAACCAGAAATAAGTGCAGGCTATGTCCCTTTAAGAGGGGATGGAGAGAGACTCTGAAATGATCCTTGACTTCGGTATTAATTGTAACAATGGCATTGAAAAAGACTGAAAATGTTCTCCTAATTAAATTTCACCCTGAACCAGTTAAGTATTTGTAGGCAGGCTTCACCTTTCTGTAGCTCTGTAATGTGCTACTTTTATAGCCTGGGAAATAAAGCACCGGCACAAGGCTCCGTTTTATCTGTGTTCTGTTAAGGGTTTATCACGTTAACTGGCTCTGGTTTTGAGGTTGACTTTCTCTTTTGGAATGGCTGCATACAAATTAGTGTCAGTTTTGAAGACTAAGGATACTAAATGAGTGTATCTTTGCTGTACAACAAATGTGAACTATAATATTCAGTGCTGGCTTCTGATGTGTCAGTTAAGTGCAGAAATATCTTGGGCACAATGACCTTTGCAACCTTTCAAGCTGTGTAATATTGAAATGGTTTTGTATATGCTTAAATCATGTAGAACGATGTAAAAGCAGTATGACCTTGTCTAGTCTTCAAACTTAACAATAAAACTTTTGAAAAATGAGGTCATTTTTGAAGCACTTTATTGCAATACCTTGAAGGAGATGATACAACTTATCTCAGCCTCACTGGCAGCAAATGTGGAGCAGAGATATGATGTGGCATTTTCCTAGATTCATTTGTGGGTTCTTTCTGGTAGGTAAGTTTGTTTCTGGCAAAATCAACTGTGATGCTGCGCTCCCTTCAATGTGTTCCCTTTGTTCTTTGAGATAAAAAAGCAAAGGTTTGAATGAGTCTAAAAATAATTTTTTTATCTTACTGTTGTCTGAATGAGCACCAGAAATGTAAACTGACAATTTCATTTCCTTTAAGTGAAATTTCTTGGAATATTTATCAATCCTTATCCTCTCTTCTCCACTCCTGCATAAACAAATTAATTTCTGAAGAGATAAACAGTGGCTGCAGCACAGACCCGCTATGAGGCTTCCAGCAGAGATGCCAAAGCACAGCCAGTGCTTACTCACACCCTCACCTCTCTTCACTTTATTTGCTGTACAGCCTGCTCCACAAAATTTCTTAGTTTAGTTCACTGTACCATTTCAATTTCTGAAGAAGCATAGAGATTAAACTAGTGCATGGAAAAACCATTCACTCCAGATTTTAAACAATGAGATTTTTTAAAAAAATTTAAAGTCTTGTGTACTTAGGAGAGATGGAGCTTCAGAGGTTTACTCCTTACTGATCCAGAATAAGCTGACAGATATTCATGTTTTTATTTCATATCTGTTTCCACTTCAAAACCAAAAATTGTCCTTTAGAGATAAAAACCATCCACGAGTATGCACTGATGACAGGGTCCTTGTCTGCCAAACATGTAGTCTGAACATTTACATCATATAGTCTTTCCACACAAAAGTCACAGAATTGATATTGCAATTTTTTCTGATTACATACCTCTACCAGTCATCAAAATGAGAATATAATGGTGCACGCAAAAAGAGGATTACTTTTGGTGAATGATGGCTGCATATTAGCACTTCAATCATAAATTTCTGAAAATATACATCTTGAATCTTTCTGACTTTTAATTATAATTGCAACTCTTTCATGAAACACAGGGTCTGTTCCTGAAGAAATGAAAAGTGATTTTTCCTCTCATTCTTCATAATGTAGATTCTCAGGAACTCTAATGAAGACAATGAGAGAAAATAATGAGTAATTCTCTTCAGAAGAGCAACTATTTATCAATGTCCATCCTCCCATACGTGTTGCTAATGAGCTCAAGGGATTAACATGCATATCAACACTCTGCATCACTATGAAATATGTAGTCTCCGATATTTCTGTGGTAAATAAAATGACACTTTGTACCTTAGATTCAAGTAACATGAGGTTAATCTATTCACTTAGTGATCACTTAGCCTTATAAAATAAAATAGGGCAAAATAGAAGATAATTTTACTGATACAAACTTTTCATTTTCTTTTTTTAGACTTTTCATAATTAATGGAGAAATTCACTTTAGGATGTAAAAGACTGCTTTAGATTAAGAATATAAAACATAAAACAGACTTGTATAAGTCTTTGCATAGCTTTATAACTGCATTTATCACAAATTATCTTTCAATGACACATATTGGAAGATGTGAGCTAACAAGAAACTTAGGAAGTTCAACAGGACTAATGTAAGGTCTTGCACCTGGGAAAACATAACCCAGGAGTGCAGCACAGACTAGGATCCACCTGGCTGGAAAGCAGCTCTGTGAGGTCCTGGTGGACAAGAAGCTCAATATGAGTGAACAGTGTGCTGCAGCAGCAAAGAAAGCCAACAGGATGCTGGGTTGCATCAACAAGGGCATCACCAGCAGAGATAAAAAGTCATTATCCCACTCTACTCTTGTCAGGCCACACCCGCAATACTGTGT